GTACATTTTAATTGTATGTAAGAGTGTTCTGTTTTTATTGAGTGTGTGTTTGTGTGTCATAGACAGCCGATAAAAGGCAAAGAAATGTTCCCTTGGCCAGGGTTTATTGATTTAGGCTAAAAGAAAAAAAAGATACACTTTTGAACCCTCACGTAAAGAACTTTCAGAAAACTACCCAGCTCATGGAGGCCGGGTCTTCGTCCCGAGCTGGAGAAACACTAGTAGCTGAGATAGCATGCTCTCAATACTAGTGACCAAGTGCCTTCACTGTAAGTAAATTTGAATTAATGCAATCAGATCACCCAGAAGCGATAGATATGGGTTTAGCACGGGTTAAAAGGTTCGAGGAAGACGCAGAACACGGATTTCTGTTGTGAAAGTCGAAAAAATATCTACCTCGAGACCTAGAAAGTCTATTCAGTCGAATTCTAACTAGTGAGAATACGCAAGCGAAAAAAAAGTGTGTCATAGCGTTACCGACAATGTCATAGCGTTACTTTAGTAAATTGTGTTTTATAAACAAAGTAAAGGGTTCTGAAAAAAACCTTTTTAGCAAAATAAAGCTCGTTAGCTCCTCTATAAACTTTCCTCTAGATACTTTTTCTCTTTCTTCTAAATTCGGAGGAATCTGCACTTTAACGAGGAGTAGTTAGAATATAGGGCCTTTTTATGTCATAGCGTTACCGGTCTAAAGAGCTTTTCTGGAAGCTGGAGTTTTTAACCAAAAATCTTCGTTTTCATAATCAAAATAGAGTAAGAAGAGCCGCGTCGAATGGCGCAAAAACGAACTTTCCAGCTCCTATAGTTTTCGAGAAAAATGCAAATTACTGTGTCAAAAATGTCATAGCGTTAGCTTTGGACAAGCCGTAGGAATTCAATGTCAAATGAACTTGTTGCAATTAAACTAAAATTTGACACTAAAACATCATACATGTTTTATGCCCACATTTTATCAGTTAGAGATTTTGTTCTGGAATTAAAGTTTAGGTATTTTTCGCGGCGCATCTTTTAAGAAAAACATCAACCTTAGGGTCCTAAAGGAACACGAGAAAAATAGAAATACTGAGAGACTCATTTTCTCTGCTGCATCCGATAGTATTTAGCACTAATGAAGTAAATACGTGCGATTTTAATGCCTATTGTTCTCTTATCAGATTCCTTATCTAGCAATATTTCATGTTCTTCTTTCACATCATTTATAAGTAAAACTACCTTTAAAATCCTATTCAGGAGTAAGTTTTGAGAGAATCTTTGGAAAACCGGTCTAGTTCCAAAACTCAAGGTAGGAAGATAGCGACTTTTTTACATAGCTAGCCCGAAATGTTCAACAGCTAGCAACAAATATTCACAGCTTGTCCCAGTATGGTACCGTTCGGCAACTCATTATCATTCAATATGTTGAATGGTGCTCAAACGAAAAAAATTCTATCAGAGATTTAAATAGCAGGTTTGCAGATAACTTAGTTCTCTATCGAATGAGCCTAGAAGAGTTTTGTTTCAGGAAATCTTTTTTCAGCTGAGCCTATAAGTTATTAATTTTATTAGAAGTAATTAGAGCAGTTTTTATTTTGTTAGTTTCGTGTATGGGAGTAAGTAAAAGAACAATTGACATTTATGTATATACGTTTAAGTTTAACTTTTTAGTGTTTGAATTCGCTTCTAGGTTTCTTTTGTTTTTTATATATATTTCATTTAATTTTGATTTAATTAAAAAATTGATATTATTGTAATATCGATTTTTCATATACACATGGAAAGCAAAAGTTGGAATTGGTATTTCAAAAAAAAATTGACAGTTTTCTGCGGGTAGTTTTTAAAAGCCAATATACCGTTGGGTAGCTCGTCGAATTCTCTATCGAACTGTCTATTTTGATGTTACATAGCTTTTATCCTCAGACGAAATACGAGAGTTAAACAAACGCACCTCTACAATCACATTCCCAACCGATCGATTTTCTCATCGCCGTTCTGATTAGTATTTTCAATATACCTTGGTTCAATAAAATCTTTTTGGAAAGATTTTATCATAACCAAGGTATATTGAAAATACTAATCAGAACGGCGATGAGAAAATCGATCGGTTGGGAATGTGATTGTAGAGGTGCGTTTTTTTCAGATTGTTTATAACAAAGTTGTCGACTATGTATGTCGTTCGAGTATCACTGTTTTGTAGCTGGACGGGAGCTGCGGTTGCAAACGAAAAAGATTTTATCCGTATGAACACCAGGTAAAGAGGAATATATTGTATAAATGTTTTTAAATTCACGCGATGAAAACGTTTGTGATGACCACTGCTACTACTTTCTTTGAAACGTTCGTGTTAGCCACATCGTAATTAGAAAAGACAACGGAGAAAAACTGAAGGTTAAAATAAGGGGTAGTACACAAGTGCCAAAAGAATGCATTGCAATCAGCCAAAAAGAGGTAATTTTGTTGTAGGTACTAAATACGAAAAACTAGTTGTTATTAATTTGTTAATACATAAATCGAATTGCAAAGCGTACTATGTTTTAGCGAAAGAAATTCAGTTTAAAAGAAAATGAATTTTACATAGTGGAACCATGTACGATGATGCCATATTTAGCTACAGTGATAAATACACAGTTCAATTTCAAAAATAAACTTGGCGGTCTTGATAGTGAAATTATCACAATATTTCGTGATGTGCTGTTATTACCCATATATCCACCAAATTTTGTCAATAGTATAGGTACTCAAGTAGATTCATTTGTTTTCTGACGAAAGTACGAAAACCTACTTTAACTTAAAATGTGCATTCAACTGCATAGGTTTGAAGCATGTTCGTGGAGTCCTCTTATTTGGTCCACCAGGCACAGGCAAACAACCATAGCAAGGTATTTGATAAATAATTTTAGGCGTTTATAATTTGTTTTCTCAAATATTTGCTTCTAATGTAAAATAGCTTTATTTTTATTTTTTAGAACCCTGTGTGAATTGTTGGACGTACAGCCACAAGTGGTCAGCGGACCAGAACTGTTAAATGGCATAGTAGGAGAGTCGGAAGCAAATATCCGACGACTTTTCGAAGCTGCCGAAACAGATTAAAAGAGAAGTATGTACCTAATAAATGCTTAAGTATTTATTGGATGCGAAAACTCAGCAGCATGCCCTTCTGATGTCCATATTTTTTTTCAAGTATGGTGAAGAAAGCCCATTGCACGTTATATAAAATACAAAAAATAGTTGAAGCATTGTTTATACAAAAAACATTCAACCGTATAAATTAAAGTTTTAAGTTGGGTTCAAAGAGTCTTAAGCCAAGGCACTTGTTCTCAAATCACTCTCTATCTCTGCTAATAGCAGCCAGAAACGCGTCTAGTAACAGTTTCTGTTTGTTATTCACCAAGGAAATTCTGATGAGAGAACGTGGCGGCGACAGCAGCAGCAGCAGCCCTTCGCCAGTTTTAGCGATCCATATTTCAATGTACAACGGCAGAATAGTCGACCCTATCGACCGTTCGTGCCAGGAAATAGCGGTCAAACATATGAAAGAAATTTTAATGAGAGACCGTGGCAGCAACAGCAGCAGCACTTCGTCAGATTTAATGATCCATATTTCAATGGATCTGTCAACCGACAAGGCGGTGCTGTTCTAACACCACATCAACGACAGCGACGCACTCGTTTAAATCGAGCGAGGCGCGATCGCGAAGAGCGAGCAGCTAACCAATTAGGTAATCAAGCCGATGCTCTACCAGTCGACAACCGTTTTGCCTGTTTTCTCGACCAAGACGAGAACGACGAAATACCGCTTGACGAATGCACAGCGGCTACAACATCGACTGCAAAAAGTAATAAAAAGGCAGTACCGATAAAACAAAAAAATAAAAAGGCTGGAGCACAAGCAAAGAAACCAGTCTCATTTGTTTCAAAGGATGACACCAGTGCTCTTGATTCCGAGCACAAACCTAAAGAATATAGAGATAACCTTACCTTAGGGCAGATCATATTCGACGGTATTTGTACAGTCTATCTAAACCTACTGACATCGGTCCGACGGCTCGGCATATAAACCGTTTTGTCACTATTTCAGCACCAATAGACGATGCCTGGATCCGAGACAATTATGAATACCAAGTAATTGAGAAACTCTTGGAAATAGGCATGGAAGATAAACACTGGGTGCACGAGATAGTGAAAAAGACAAAAACCCGTGACGATATCGTGAACAACCAGTACTGTATAGATAAAATATCTCAGCTTCAAAGAGCTATTTCAAATCACGGGAATGCAGTGACGAAACTGCAAAGTGAATTAATAGCATTTGTACCATATTATCATGATGCTCCAGGTACCATTAATAATAACGGTACCGTGACAGCACATGATCTTGCTGCACAAAATGCTCGTAAACCCAAACTACATATAAGAGCTGCAGATAATATAACACAGGAATACCTGAAGATACATACAAAAAAATTTGCAGAAATTTGTGCTAATCGTGTAAATACAGCGTATGCTGAACTCAAAGAGTGTGTAAATCTCAAAACATTTGAGGAAAAAGCTACGCCAGTACAACGAGCACATGTAAAAATACTAAAAGAAAAATTAGAAATTTTACATGGGAAACAAAAAACTGCTAAACTTCTTAAAGAAGAAATTTCAATGCAAATGATACCGAGAGCCGTACCGAACGTGCATTTCAGTCCACGTCTAGATGATCGTGTACTTGGAAAAGATAACATGGCGAACCTTACACGTGTTATAAGCACCGTAGTTGAACAATTTCGGGTTAAAGCATCAGAGACGCTACTATTAATAGCTGAAATAGAACGGGTACAAATCGAAACCGAAATAGAACAGTTAGAAAAGTCTATGCCGCCCAACGCAGAATCAGAAGATAGCGAAGGGCCGAAAGCAAGCGATTTATATAAACTGTACTCCGAAGCTCGACAAATAAGAATAAATAGTCTTCTTGAGAGATCAGTTCTTTTTTTAGACGAGCGACGCGAGGCCGAATCCAGATGGAAGCGGCTCACTCTCATCTTCTCCCCCACCTCTCCACCTCTTGTCAGTTTTCGTCTTCCATCCTTACATCTAGAGAGGCATCTACATGCATACGTCTTCTCTAAGATCTAAGTCAAGAAATGTCATCAAAAAAGGAGGGAGGGGTGAGGGTGCCAGAGGCATGTAGATGCCTCTCTAGATGTAAGGATGGAAAAGGAAAGGGGACAAGAGATCGAGGGGTGGGGGAGAAGATGAGTGTGAGCCGCTTCCATCTGTACATCTAGTTGCATCGAATTGATATTAGATGCATATATTTTGCCACCACTCATTTCGTTCTCCAGCACGCGATCTGCTCTAAAAAATTTTTTACAGATCACGAGAAAGAGCACATTCAGAAGTTCAAAAAGAACTGCGTTCTCACTTTTGGTACACTTTTTTACGGAAATAATAGCAGAAAAAAAGTTTAAGCTGATAAAATACCAGATTTAGAAAGTTTTCATTTTTCTCGTCTTTCGTATAATTTGTGTAGTTTTCTTGATTGAAGTTTTGAAATTAAAACTTAAGTGTGGTTTGCGGAGTATTTCGCGCCCCTAATGAATCAGTAAAATCGGCTTCAGCTTTCCGTAGAAAGAACTAGGAAGGTTTGCAAAACTATTTCTGAACTTTTTATACGGGAGAAGTCTAAGACGTCCATACTGGATACGAATTTGACTTGACTGAACGACTTGGTTGAATCTGAAAAAGACGCTTTCGAAAAGTTGGAAGCACGGGAAAGAAAAAAATTTGAGTTTTGTTGAAAATAAAGGAGTTTTCGAAACTTTAGATCTTTCGAGTTTTTGCAATTCTCTCCACCGGAGGGGAGAGTCTTACAACCCTTAAATGTGTGTCAGTGTGTGTGTTCAAACATTCACTATTGTTGGTCAATATTATCCAATGGATATGCAAAGTGATAGATGGCGCTGCGTGACGGACGTACATACGTACAGTCATGAGGCAGTGTGACGGACGTACACAAATATACTCATGTGGCAGTGTGACGGACGCGCATTGCATGACACTCCGTGGATATGTCGCAATCGAGCGCCGACCGAAGGGAGGTGTGAGCTTTGTCGATGATTCAAATACATGGATGGTCGTTCACACTGTGTTACGCACTTACATACACACATACAATTACGCGGCGGGCCAATTATTAGCGTGACTAGCATATACACATGGAGACAAGACATTTTGGATTAGTCTCTAGCAAGCCCTAGCCGAAGACAGGTGTGAGCGTTCTCCGTGATTCAAAGTCAGCGAAGGTCCATCGATACTACTACGACGGACATACATACGCACTGATACTATTGTGAAGGATGAACATGCACATATTCCATAACTTGTTGTGGATAGGTTGCAAGCGAACGCCGACTGAAGGGAGGTGTGAGCGTTGTCTGTGATTCAAAGTCCCGAGCCATAGGTGGAGCGTCAGCGAGCGTTACTTGTTTTTCTCCCACAAAACAATTTTTTTAAAGGTAAAAATCACTTCTTCTAACTCAACTTGATCAGCTCTATTCTCTCCACCGGAGGGGAGAGTCTTGCAATCTTCAAATGGCCGCCAGTGGGTCCGTCCAAACACCTACTATTGACCAGTATTGTCCAATAGATAAGCAGAGTGATAGATGGCGGTGTCTATCGCCAAACAACATGAGCGTGGCGGACGTACATACACATAGTCATGTGGCAGTGTGAGGGACGTAGAAATACACAGACATTTGAACACTAGGTGACGGATGTACATACACACAGACATGCTACTACATATGTGTATGGCATATACACATATTGTGGATAGTCTACTAGCGAACGGGGACCGAAGGGAGGGGCGAGCGTTATTCCTGATTGAAAGTCGCTGAAGGTCATTCGATATTACTGTGACGGACGAATATACACACAGATATCAGTGTGACGGACGCACCTACACATATTCCAGAACATATTGTGGACAGTCCGCTAGCGAACGCCGATCGGACGGCGGTGTGAGCGTGAGATATAAGTTGATAAGAGCAAGTTACTGAGAGAGTGTAGACGATGCCTTGCCTTTTGTACATATGCAGCGAGCGATCAGCACTATGAAAAACTGTCACCTTGTAAACGACGTTATTTGCGACCGATACTAAGACGAAAAGTAGTCCAGTAGCTGACCGGTCGCGAGCACTGCGTGTGGAACCCACATACAGACATATTGTGGATAGTCGTTCATACACATGCTACAGAGCATATGCTGGATAGGAGCCTAGGGAACGCCGACCGAACGGAGGTGCGAGCGTTCCCTTTGATTCAAACTGATTGAAGGTCGCTCGCTGATTTTTATAATATATAAGGTCGTTAACTGATTTTTATAAAATACACGCTTGGTTACCCTCTAAAATTGATAATACATATATCGTTTAATCGTTTAAATTAATTCAGGGCTTTTCTTGTAAATTCTATAACTTTGCAAATAAACGTCATGTGGAGCTGGGGAATGTCTCGTTTTGATCAGAAATGTGCGCGCTACAATTATATCCTGTTTAAAAATGTTTTGGTTATTTTTTAAAGTTTCTGAAAAGCTGGTTTTCTAGAAAACTGGGTCTAATCAGCTCGGCGAGCTCTATCGATCGGGGTACCTCTCGTTAGCATCTGTGATTAACACTTGGGATAGTTCCCTCGTTAGACTTCTCCCGTATGAAAAGTTCAGAAATAGCTTTGCAAACTTTCCTAGTTTTTTGTAAGGAAAGCTGAAGCCGATTTTACTGATTCATTAGGATCGCCATTAAACAAGCTTTAAAAGTATAGGTCAAAACGTCAGTATAGGCAATAACCTTGAGTATGATCTTCTGCCTTATGGCACGACTCTAATACGTGACATAACTCCTCCACCCATGCAACAAGATGAACTTCCAGGTTCATTGAAAATTTAAATGCCTCTTGAAGGTCCTTTTGAAGTTCAATGTTCCGATACTGCCACCACCATTATCATTGCGGAAACGTTTCGATTTGAGCACGTTCGTTGCAGCAAACTGAAATCCATGATTTGCCACCAGCATGGTTGGTTTTCCCTTTGTTTGCATTTTATCACTATTGGATCAACCATTCATAAAGCTGCCACTAGCATGATTCATTAGATCAGTATCACTATTTACTAACTAAATAGTTTCAGCACTTTTCTAACAACTAAATACATATTTATGTGGATAATCGTGGGCCCGTAATGAGTTGAAATGCCGATGTTGTTTTTGTTTATGGCACCATATACGGCCATAGCCACTCCCAATGTCCAGATGTGTCTTCAATATTGCTATAATCGAACAATCTACCATCTTGTTTTGCATGTCTAACCTTAATTTCCACACGAATAATTGCTACAATTAATTGAATAAGATGTTCAAAATCACCAGCTATCGACTGTATGGGTCTCCGTAACAATCGATCACCTACTATGCGTTCCAAAATACAAGACAGTCAGCCATTTTTTGAATAACTTTTGATAGGAATGAGATAGAGACCTGCGATTTCGCTGTTCAATAGCCAAGACTTGAGCAGAACTTTCTACAACAGAAGCAACTTTTGAAAAAATTCCAGAGATCGGGTTTCTAGAAGATCTTTGGAAAACCAGAAGATCTTTGGAATATAACTTCACCAGAGGCATTATTGTGAAAAACCGGTTTTTCGCCTGTTACTACCAAAAATTAAAATCCTTATATCTCGATCAAATTTCATGCTGACTCAAGGAAATTTTCAGGAAAGGCTTAAAAGGTGCCATATGTTGTTGACCACGCCGAAAAAGTGGTCCAGCAGAACACTGATGCTCTGAGGTTTTTCAGAAGGTTTCTGAAAAACCTTAAGCCAATGCCCAGCTCACATTCACCTTTTTCGTCTTCGATTATACTTTATGAGCTGTCCTGAGCATTTGCTGAAAATTTCCTTGAGTCAGCATGAGATTTGATCGAGATATAAGGATTTTAATTTTTGGTAGTAACAGGCGAAAAACAAGGCGTTTTCCCACAAGAAGTCCAGGTATTTTCATAAAGAAATCGATCTTTCTCCACAGGAACCTCTTGTTTTCTGATAACGAAGTCGATGTTTCTCCACAACTTTTCTTTAAAAATATTGTTTCAGTCGCTTAGGAGAACCAATGTACTGAAAATTGCATCTTTAGCTGATTTTTGGCCCTTGAGTCTCCTATATCTCATAGAGCGAAGCATCCGGGAATTTTGAGTGTACGGCAACTTTTGCTCTACTAGTCGAGATCTTTCTACCCTGGCGTAAAAGTCAACAATGATCAGCAAATAAAGCCGCTGATGCAGTTAGTAAACTTGTAGACGAGAGGTCATTGATATAGATAAGAAAAAGTAGTGACCCGAAGATTAAGCCGTGGGACACACCTAATGGAACAAGGACATTTGTGACGCATGGAGAGAGAGTTTCCAATACGCACCCGCTGGGAACGATCGGATAGATAACTGGAAAACCACTGAAATGCTGAGGCTGTTACCCTCAACGAAGAAAGTTTTGTCAAGAGAATCTGATGGGGAACGCGATCAAAGCTTTCTCGAACTCAAATTGTACAAGAATAGTACCATTTTCCTCATCTAAACTTGTGTAAATTGAGTGTGTGATGTATAGAAGCGCGTCAACGGTGGATGGTTGAGAACGAAAACCAAATTGTGACTTAGAAAAAACACTATGTTTAGATAAATAAGCGAGCAGTTGTTCATGTATAAAACGTTCAAGCACCTTACTAAGTATACTTAACAGAGATACTGGCCTATAATTATCTACAGTAGCTCTGCGACCCTTCTTATGTACGGAAATAATATTAGCAATTTTTCACATAGATGGATAAACGGCGTTTTTGACAGAAAGCGAAAATAAATGTTCAATTTGATCAGTTAAGATGGAGCACATTTTTGTAAGAAAGAAACCGGTATATTATTAGGTTCCGGTGCTAATATCTTCCCTTAAATTTCTTATAGCATGTAAAATAATTTGTTTCCTTGGTGGATTATTAACAAACATGTCGTTTATGACTGATGGTGGCTGCGGACAAGGCCCTTGCTTAGGAATGAAACATTCAGAAAAATATATATTAAACATTTGAGCTTTAGAGCAGTCAGTTGATGCAATGCTATTACTCTCCTTTCTAAAAATAGTGTAATGATGATCACATATGTTTTAACGAGGTGCTACTACCAGTTCGTTTAACCAAATACAAGCCTTGGATTTTAGCTAAATTATTATTCCTCCATTGTTTACAGACTTTAACATCAATGGATAGCCTAAAGTATAAGCGCGACTCTGGGCACTATAGAGCTTTCGGACTATTCTTTCCCAGGCCACAATTTCAATTCAGTTTCAACAGTTTTGCATAAATCTCTAATGATTTCTCGTGTTCGCCTTTTAGCTTTAAAGCTGATCTAATATTATCATATGTAGCTGCTAATTGTGGATATGCTGGTGGTAATGACATTAATTAAATTTCAAGTGTCTTTTCAGAACTGATTAATGCCTTTTCGTATTCACCTTTGTTATTGTAAATTAACCCAGTATTGTTATATGTACTTGCTAATGATGGATGATTGAATAGTAATGAGTTTAAGTCAATTTCTAGTATCTTTTCATAATTCTGTTCATAATTCTGTAATGCTTTAGCGTATTCACCTTTCTTATCGTAAATTAATCCATATTATTATACGTAGTTGCTGATGATGGATGTGCCGATGGCAGTGAGCTCACATCAATCTGAAGTGTCTTTTCATAATTCTCTAATACTTTGTCGTATTCACCTTTCTCATCGTAAAGTTCGTGTTACTGGATCCTCAAAGCGCAAAAAACGTAAATGTCGAGATTTGGCGTTCTAGAATGCCGATGTTTCCAAACATTTTTAACTCGATTTACGCTAACCCTACTCATGCGTCATTCATTTGAAAAAGGTTCCAGCTTATGCGAACAAAGTTGTGTATATCGTTGTATGGACTCGGGGAAACACCTATTAATGAGAATCACTATACTTTTATGGAATTTCACTCTAAGAATATGACTTTTATTCCACAAACATATACAGGATAAAAAAATTAATTTAAATATTATTAGATGAAAAGATGCTGAATCTTTTGATACAAAAAATATTCGACTATTTGTTAAAACGAGCATTACCGTAGCCTAACGTCTAACGCAAGAAGAAAACTAACGCTATTGTGTAGAATATAGCATGCTAGTAGATCCCCAACATCCGAAGTTTTCTACAATGATGATTATGTCTGGTTAGTTAAAGCTGTGACCATTAAAGAATGATTTTGCTTAATTTAAGTAGTTGAATGAAGAGTCCTGTCTTTTATATTTTATTGTGGTCGACATGTAATATAGTCGTTAAACAATATGATCTATGAATAAGACTAATATGACATAGACAGTGTCACTTGATCAGCATGTTTAGGATTAACTTCATATAATAGTTGATACAATTCATTATAAAATGAATTCTTCTTATATTTATGTCTAAGTAAATTTGTAAAAATATACTGATTGGAGCTGAAGAAAAATTGAGCGAGAAAGTTTGTCCAGCTATAGTTAAGTGAAGGAGCGAAATTTGCGGCTATAGTTGGAACTGTTAAATTGTGATATCGAACACGTTTAGAACACTCATAATGATCAATTGCATGAAGAACAGAACATAAAAAGAATAGCTCAGCATCCATTGGTACCTTGTATTTACGTATCAATTCAAATATAATTCGACGTGCTTCCAACATAAAATTTAAACTAATTGATTGTTGGGCTAATTGTTGTATTGTACTATGTGGTGGAACAATTAATTTCATACTATTGTGCGTCACAGCCTTCCGAAACCAGACAATTGAGCCAAAACAAAATCCGGGACCTTCCCAACTTGAATAGTTTAAACGTTGTCCGTGTAATAAGATATCATCATATTTTGATTCTAGTTCTTTATGACCATTCATATTGCCGTTGTCATAATTGTGATTATACAATTTATCAAAATAAGAATGTATAATTGGATGTATTGCTATTGAGTGTATAATAGTTAATGTTGTTAGCTGTTCGCTATGATCACTAATTATAAGGTTGTTAA